TATATATATATTTCCTAGCAGACCTCTAAACCGTTAAAAAGGCCGACTACAGCAGAAAGGATATTGACTGTATAAATCCAGGGTCCATGTTGGTACCAAGGCTTTATCCAGGTTTGGAATAATTCTGTGGCTTTCCTTTGTTCTGAATGAGTTCTGGTTCTGAGTTATTTGGACCTTGTTTGAGCAGAATCCAGTGTTGAAAAATGAAACTGTTCTGGTGCAGGAGCCATGGCAGAGGCCGGAGCCCATCTCACCTCCACAGCTGTCAATGAGCAGCCRTCGGTGTTTGAAGTTCTGGCTCAGGAGTCTCTGATGGAGGCGGTCCGACCGGCGCTCAGACACACCATCAAGGTGAGCAAGTTTCTTTCTTTGGAGGGTTTTATTAAAACACAAAAGTAAAACCAGGTTCTCATGGTTCAACAGGTTCTGGCTGATTCCAATCCCTCTCGCTACGGTTACCTGTGGAGACACTTTGACGAGCTCTACCTGCTACTGGACCTCCTCCTCCAGAACCACTTCCTGTGCCACCACAACGCCTCGTTCTCTGAGAACTTCTACGGCCTGAAAAGAGTTTCAGGTGTACTGGGACTTCCTGTCCAYCTGCGTCTGCACAGGAAGTCCCACTGGCGCTCTCTTCTCCTCCTCTGCCTGGTTCCGTACCTGCGGGCCAAGCTGGAGGCGACTTTGGCGCGACAGAGGGAGGAGGAGGACTTCTCCATCAGGCTGAGGCAGACCTGGAGGCAGAGGGTGTACCGGGCGGCCGTGGCGGCGTACCCGTACGTCGGCACGGCCTGGCAGGTCTGGATCTTCTGCCAGCTGCTGCTGTTTGTGTTCGGGGTCTCTGGGACTCACAGCCCCCTGCTGTGGCTGGCCAACGTCAGGCTGGYTCGGCTCAACGCTCAGGACATCAGAGACATGGCACAGAAAACCAGAACCACGATGAACCCGGCTGACATGAGGTGAGACACCTTAATCTTTAGATTCACAAGAAAAACTTCATTTGTAGATCCTTTCTATTCAGAAATAAGAGATATTTCTGTTTTGCTTAAACCTTAAAACTAAGTTTTACATGATCTCCTGYAGTGCTGGGCGGTATACCGTTTTGTACCGAAAACCKTTTTTTATTTTTGTTATGATATGACTTTTCTGAAAACCGGTGTAAATAGCCTGAACACGTGCGGAATGTTTTGTCACGGCCGCCAGTGAACTGTTTCCCCGGGGACGCGTTTCCTCGTAGCACCGCTAAGCGCAATAGCATGCTAACRTTATTGTTGGAACAACTGGCGGCGGGTGGTGTGTTTCAGCCGCTTATATGGTCTGACGTTTAAAAAAAAATCCCGTTTTCACCAACGCTGAATGTAGTAAACAATTCTTCAGTGTCGTGCACAGTTAGATTTAACACGCTACGTTAAAATGGAGGCGTTATTGCATGGAGACTCTATCATGCTTCTATTGTGAAAAGCCCGGGGGGAAGTAGATTTGTAATGTAGCAGAGTTGACTGGTGTTCAAGGTGAGTCGTCCTTTTGAGTTTTATTAACACGCAATGATAGACCAGATAATGATCTTTTCTCAACCCTTCACGATCGGACCTAAATGCATGATTACTGTCTACAACCAGGCAAAGAAGAAAAGACGTACAAGATGAGGGAAACAGCGACACAGACAGAGGTACAGTAAAAGAAAAAAGTCAACAAGCAAAGTTTGTACATTTTATTATCAGCTGAGCTGTGAGGGAAAAAAATACCGTCAAATACCGTGAAACCGGTGTAATTGTTGAAAATACCGTGATATAAAATTTGGGTCATACCACCTAGCTCTAATCTCCTGCATTGTTGTTAGAGCTGGGCGATATGATCAAAATTTTATATCACGGTTTTTTCAGTATTTTCACTGGTTTCACGGTATTTGACAGTATTTTTCTTTTCATCACAGTCAGCTGATAGTAAAATGTACAAACCCTGCTTATTGACTTTTTTTCTTTTACTGTACCTCTGTCTGTGTCTCTGTTTCCCTCCTCTGTGTCTGTTCTTTTCTGACTGGTGGTTGGAGACAGTAGTCACGTATTTTGGTCCAGTCGTGTAGGAGGAGGGTTAAGAAAAGATTATGATCAGGTTTATTGTTTTATGTTATTTATTAAAGCTTATCAGCACGACTCACCTTGCACACCAGTGAATTCCAACTCCACTACGAACTACTTCCTGCAGGCTTTTCACAATAGAACCACACGTTAAGTCTCCATCAGCATAACGTCTCCATATTAACTAACCGCGTTAAATCTAACTGTGCACGTCACTGAAGAGGTGTTTAATACATTCAGCGACGGCAAAAATGGGATGTTTTTTTAAATGTCAGTTAATATAAGCAGCAGAATCGCCACCCGCGGCTGCAACTAGCTGCTCCAAACATTAGCATGCTAACACACATAGCGGTGCAGCAAGGAAAAATGTCCCCCGGGAAACAACAGTTCACTGGCAGCCATGACGAAATGTTCCGCTATTTAAACTGGAATGTCCAGTATTCAGAAAATTCATTTCATAACAAAAATAAAAACCGGTATTCGGTACGAAACGGTATACCGCCCAGCACTACTTGTTGTGATATCTGATGTCATTTATTGGAGCTTGTCTATGTTGCAGTTCACTCTCATCTACTACCACACCACGTTTTAGTTCATTATCTGAACAACTGGCTGAGTTATGATCATTTTTGTGTTGGCTTAGATCATTTTTCTCCGGCAGCCATCATGAATGAGGTCAACTTCAAAAGTGAACTGTAAACATATATCCAGTTTCATTTAAATCTGTCACTGCTGTCAGATATTTTGCTGATAGCACTGACTAATGGACACACGGAGAAATTAACAAATATGAGTATAATCATTAAAGATCAGGCTGCAAAAGTTGTTTGTTTTTATTTATTTCATGTAAACCAAATTCCAAATCAAATACACCAGAATACAAAGTTAAAGCAGAAAGAAAAATATTATTTACAGTTTTGTTGGTTTAAACTGCAGAACATTGCACACACACACACACACACAC